CAGATGTAAGTGGCTATAAACAGCTCGGAATCGTTTTAAGGTTCGTGACTCAGAGTTAGTTGATAGATTTATAAAATACTAGAAGACCTGTCGAACTTCGTATCGCCCTATAATCAAGAAATATCTATTACGTTTTTTTATTTATATTTTTGGAGTTTACCTGTAAGCCATAAATCTCCGTCTTTTGAAGTGCGACAGAATGATTGACATATTAGTTAGTTGTCAAATCTAATGTCAAAAAAAAAACGTTTGTATGGGAAATAGAAAAGGGCTGTTTTTATGGTTTTCCCAGTAATGAATCAATTTTTTTCAGCTTTTATACCTTCCCTGAACCTCCAAGAACATTTCAAGACTAAGATAAGATAAATCCGTTCAGCTGTTCTCGAGTTTTAGCGAGACTAAGGAACAGCAATCCATTTATATATATACAGGGTGACTGGTGAATTACTATCGATATTTGAGGACGTGATATTTGACGATCATATATGACAAAATAAAAATTAATATAACATAAATATTAATAAACTTCTAAGTAAAGTTAACCAAAAGTTATGTAATTAATTACGCATCGTGTGAACACCCTACAGATTAGGTATACACTGACACTCACACATACGCATGTCGTGACGTGGTGTTGTATCAACACGTCGCCGCACGCGTCCACACTTGAACACTTGGAACGTGTCAACACTTTACTTATTTATACGGAAATTTTGTCAAAAATTAAGTGCCTATTTTTTTTACATAATTCGAATGAGAATCATGTACCGAGTATTCTCCTTAAATATTGATAGTAATTCACCAGTCACCCTGTATATATAGAAGATAGAAGATATAGATGTTAGTTCTGATCGGAGTGTTGTAACGTTATGCACGAATTTTGTGAATGTTTTAGATTAATTCAATCGTATTAATAGATTATTTGCTCAAGAATATTATGGATTTTTGAGCTTATTGAAACGAAAATGACCACTCGCGTTCCACATTTGTTCAGAATATGTACTTATTAAATGTTATTCTTTTTATTTTATTAAATTTTTGACTGTGTTTCTGCAACCGAGGTTTTAAGTGTAATTCGGGAAGTAGCAATTTTTTTTTCATAATGGTACAAAAACAATCGTGCAATATAACGAATATGTTCAAATGTGTATTAACTACCGTGCTTCCGAATACCCAGGATGATGATAAATAGATGGTGAAGCATTTACACGCGTAACTTTTATAAAATACACAATTTAAAAGATTTGAAATTTTTTACTGCATACATTTATGCAAAAAATATTATAAATGTAAGAATTTCATACAATATGTATTTTTCTTAACAGATATTCGTTATGAAATATTGCAGAAAACAACTTATGATATTGTTTACTGTGTCCGAAAAATTTCTGACTTTGAGACTTTCATATATTAATTAATTTAACATTTAATATAACTTTATATCGGAATCAAATTGTGACTTATCGAAAGGAAAACGCGACTTTGACTATTCCACAGGATTACAGACGCGTGTTTTACGAAATTTTAAATATAAAATAATGTTTTGAGAGTGTCGTAGTCGTTATAAAATTGTTATAGGCCTCAAGAGTCGACTATACCCTTAAAACTTAAATTTGGTTTAAATCGTGAAAAAATACTGATTTTAAAGGAGCAATTAATTGGTTTGAAGTTTTTAAAAAAAGTAAGTAGACTAGGTTTAACTTTTGTAGTGATGTAATTGTAAAAAAATCTTATTTTATAGACGCGTTTGTTGTTCTATACATCGAGTGTGGAAAAAAAAACAGAATTATCTGAAAAAAAAATAACAATTATTAATTACAATCAGGTCTTTAGCATTGAAATGGTATTATATTTCTTTTTTGTAATGTGTAAATAATTTATCTTGTTGTATATTGAACTACGACGCATTTCTGTGACTTAGGATCTTGCAACTGACTTTTCTGTTGGTAAAAACTTATAGAATTTACTAATAAAAATAAAATGGTGACATTCTATAATATGAATGTATATTTTACCATGATTTTACTCATAAAAAGACATAAAGGTCATAATTAATTACAATTGTAGATAGCCTATGTGTGGATTCAATGTCTTATGGAATTTCACCATGTTGTAAGAAAAATCTCGTGTTTTACATAAATATTTATGTTAAAACATTAATATTGATGAGATTAAATGAGTTGAATAATAAATCGTATAAAAGTTAGATCTGATCTTGGCTTCAATCGTTATAAATATTAACTCAGATAAAATATGTCCAGAAAAAGATGTCGACATAAAACATCGTAAGTAACGTAACGTAAACGTAACGTAACGTAAAGTAACGTAAGTAAAGAATAATATAAGTTGAAAAAATTTATAAATATACTCAACACATATCACTCATTACTTTGAATATGTTAAAATAATATTATTCAAGTATACAAATGAGTTATTTGGAATAATAAATATAATATTAATGATTAAAATATTTTTAAATTCAATTAACAATTTTAGATTTCAAAGTTATATTTCTTAACAACTATTACGATGGGTTACTGTTCCTATGAACCTCCTGCACGTAAATTTCTACAATTTAACAAAATACAAAAAAAAAATTAATACTATTTAAGACGAAGCTTCTCATCATTCAATCATCAATGTATTCACGGTGCGTGTGTCGGGTCCATCGTTGTAGTGAGAGGAGCTTCAACAGTGCCTGGGCCTTGCGACCCAGGTGTAGGTTTAAGGGACCTCCATCTAACGTGTGTTAAACGCTTACCTCCACCGTCCAAGCTCCTCTCTCTACCTAACCAAATTTGAAACGAAACGATATCTTTTAATTTTAGCACTTACTGAACAAAATTTGCTACATTAATTTAGTAAGTAACTGATTGTCTTAAAATATTATATACCTACTTATATTGCAAAGTAAACCAAGACCCCCCAAAGTAAAGTGAACCCCATTTAACTAATTGTAAAATAGTCAATAGCAATACTGCTCATTATTATTAATGGACTATAATAAAAAAAAGTAAGCTAATTCTTGAGAGGACTTAAGAGTCATTCCTTTATTGTGACTGTAACTTGCCATATATTGAGCAAACGAAGATAGCATTGCTACAAAGATTAAATAATATATCTCAGATAATATACTAAATAGGCGTAAAATGGAATCAGGTTTATGATTTATGAATACTGTGAATCAGTCGAGTCATTATATCCGGTTTGACAAACACAGCACCTCACTTGTGAAAACTGGTACACGCCAAGGTAGAATTGGGAAGATATTGAAATTAAACTTTACCTTATCTTTGTGAACGGCTAGCAATAATCTAACATCTGGAATTCCTTTATCAAAAATATATAATCATATATCCATGACCACAATAATCTGTTTCAGTGTTTCTGCGCATTCCATTTCCATCCACAGTAGTACCTAAATTATGAAAGAGTCGCTGGCAGATGACAAATAACAAAACTTAGAACATTTTCATCTTGTCAGTCAGTAAGCAAAATCATTGTTAGCTGTACAGTAATGGAATAAAGCGATTGAACACTAAACAGTCGACTGGTCATTCATCCACGGAGATGATCTCAACAACCGAATGTACGATCAAGAAGAGGTTTTATTTTCGATAAGTCAATTATCGGGGGTGGTTTATATAAAAAAAACATTATTGAACCACCAATTTCAATTTTAAGACCGGAAAATGGAATCCATGTCCAAAAAAAGATTCTGCCTTTTCTTTTCTGAGATAATTTCCACATCAGTTCATGTAATAATAATTTTACTTATATCCCTACTAATATTATAAATGTGAAAGTAACTCTGTCTGTCTGTTACACTTTCACACTTAAACCACTGAACTGATTTTAATGAAATTTGGTACAGAGAGATAGAGTTGACCTTGAGAAAGTACATAGGATAGTTTTTATCCCAGACTTTTGAAAGGTTCTCTTGGAAATGCGATATAAGCGAATACACGCGTGCGAAGTTGCGGGCGGAAAGCTAGTCATAATATAAAATAAATAAGTACTATATTCAAACATTTTCAACACCAAAACTGTGATGTTTCTTTTCCCCTATACTTACACATTTATTCAACATATTTAAAATAATAAAAAATGTGATAAGACACAAATCAAAAACAGTATGTATATTCAATAACATTTATTAATTATGATTATTTAATAAAGTAACAAATATAAAACAAACACAAGCACATCACTTAAAAATAATACAATATTGTACTTTTTGAAAAATAATTACTGTGAAATATAGAGAAAAATACACAAAGTAAGTACTTTAAGTTGGACAAAATATTTTAAACAACAATATTATAACAATATTATTTTTATTATACATTCTCTAACTTAATTATTATTGCATTTGAGGTGTTCAACTGTAAAAAATATTACTTATTAAATATAACTTAATTGTAAAATTAAAAATGAATACAATCAATATTCAAACAATTTGTTTCATTAATAAATACCTAACATTCAATCTGGGATATGCATTATATGTACTTTTGTGCACTAAGTTATATATATGTATATAAAAATTAAATTATCTTCTAAAAATGCATGTCAATCATGAAAAATACTCTTTCAATACAATTCTGTATTAGATAGGAATAAAATAACTATGTATTTCTATACCTAATTATTATAAGAACGAGGCATAGCAAGACTATGTTAGTTTTATGAAGCAACTACTGCGGCTAGATAAATCACTAATAGAATATGGACATTCTGAAATATTCTAAAAGAAGCACGTAATCTTATTAAGTATTATTCTAAAGAGTAAAACAAATAATTGCAAAACATTTAGCACGTAAGTCACAAAAATGTTAAACATTTGACGTTTGCCTGACGTTGACATAACTTTATGGTGCTAGATAGATACTTAAACCATAGACTAAACATAGATATAGAATAGTTGACACAAGTTGCTGAGTCTGAAGGGGAATTCAAGGACTTCTAAATATAGTCGAGATGTCCTTGAAAATCTCATGCTATGCCCTTTTAAAGTATTGCTCATCTATTCTCTTTGCGAGAGCTACTAGTGTCGTGTGTTTTCTGACTGTGTCCGCGAGTTTACGACACGGCAGGCGAGTTGTTATAATTGTGAACACGTGACCAAATACTAACGCGTCCAGCTCTGTGGGGCTGTAAGGAAATAAAAGATATCTTTATATATAAAAGAAATTGTGTTAGTTACACTATTAATAAGTTAAGAACAGCTGTACGGGTTGATGAAAATTGGTGGAGAGATAACTTAGAATGAGGGAAAGGACATAGAATACTTTTCAAACGATTGAAATAGAAAAAAACATAAGTTGATCAAATCCAAAATATCATCTACTGTGTTTAAGGAGAAATACAGTTCGCCTAGTCAGCTATACATTACTAATTCTGAAACTAACGCAGACGAAGTCGCGGGCAAAAACTAATATGTATATTTAAGTGCCTTTTATAGTTTATTCTATAATCACCCATTATCGCTTCAGATCACTAAATAGCTTGTATCGTCATACTACATACAAAGATTTGTTAATTTATTATAGAAAAATCTTAGCACTCATCATTGTAATAGGCTTATGAATAAAAAGCCGTAAAAACTCCTTATATGGTGTTGTCAACTAGTAACAATTTTATGGCTATTCCAATATCGATAATAACAATACACATAATATATTTGTCAAGTCTATAATCAATGTAATTCGTGGTACATAAAAAATATTCTGCCTTTCCCACACAAACAAAACACATATATTTAATTCGTTTATTCCATAATAACATAAATTTCAATCAAATATAACGATCAGTATTGCATAACATCAATCGACATCCACAATTTCGGGGCAGTATGTACGGTAACCGGCTTTCTGTTTTCTGAGATACTTCAAAAGACTCTCAACACTTATATCTTCGTTACTTGGCATTTTTAAAATACTTTTTATAGTAGAATTTGAATCTGCAACTGTTTGTGACTTATAAATTAACTTAATATCAATTATATCAGAATAAAAATTATTTTTACATTTTTTAGTACGAAAATTAATTAAAAATAAACAAATAAATAAAACCTGAGCCAGTTTCGAATGAAGTTTTAGACATTCTACATTTATCCTCTTCGGCAAATATTTCAGAATCTTTAAAAATATGATTCGAAGGCGTCCTAACTATATTATACTCTTGTTCTTCGACGCTAAATATCCATTTAGATAGAAAAAAAAACAAAAATATTATATAATCTGTAATGTATTAAAAAACCGTCAAAATCGTAAAATACCTTGTGTCCAAATCAGGCTCCATATTGGAAACCATCGCTTTATCAGATTCAATATCCGGATTTTCAACGCTGATAAAAAATAACATTATTTATATACAACAAAAGCAAGGTAAAAGTTGTAGTTAAGAATTACCTAATCTCATTATGTCCGGAATCATTCTCTAAATTGTTACTCAACAATTGCTGTTCAACAATATCCTCTTCGTATCTGCTTAAGAATTAAAAAAAAACTTTTCTATTATAGGAAATCAATAAATAAATAGCTAACACAAAATATAAGTTACCTAGTTTCATTATCTATATGGCAAGTGGCAACATTGTCATTATCGATATTCCTATATGTCCCATCACTATTTATATCTATAGCCCCATCTATAACTTGTATTTCTTCTTCACCTATATCAAGTACAGTGACATCTGTCTTTTCATCTATAGTATCCAGATCCATATTCCTCATATTATCGTATCCAGCAATCACTTCGAAGCCGTTTCTATCGTATTTATCGATAATATCATCCACTTTATCGATAATCTCCATCATTATATCGATAATGCCCGCCAATTCTTCTTCAGTCACACCACTATTTGGTTGGTCGCATTCGCAAGTGACGTCACCTTCATTTGACGTCATTATAATTATTTGTTTGGATGCGAAAGGTTTGAAACCTGTGTCGTATAATTTGTAATATATACTAGTTTTACTGTAAATATATTATATTACAAATTCCATAGACAATTTTTCAACTTTTTTTGCTATCTGTGATTTATCTTTTATCTATGAAATACAAATGACATGACATATTATCTACGTCTAAAATACGAATGACATAAAATGTATGACATAAAATATATTACGATATTTCTTATTAATAATAACCAAAGACATCCTTATTTCTGAAATTCTCACGGCTAGGGTTGCGCATGCAGAGTTTCGATCGTTTGCTCCTAGACACAGTTCTCACTGGTGACAAGCGGCGGCATAACTGACAACCCTGAGCCACTAAATATTCTTCTTGGAACTATTACAAGTATGGATAAGTTACTTATACTTATATTAATTAATATACACTATTATATATATGTAGTTGTACCGTCAATTTCATTTTTGTCAGATGCGACATTCTTATCAAATGTCGTAATAAAGCATTTGTTATGGGTTTTATCATAAGTGCAGCTTTAGGGCCTCTCGCTGAGAGTAGGGCTCTTAGGTGACCGTATATTAGGGCATCTAGTGGCGTGGGACTGGGTGGGAAAAGTTAGAAATACTATTAATATAATAAACTACTTACTTATTAGCTAGTATTCAATAAAATTAAATCAATATTTTCAAGATTACTACGCGTATTTTCTTTTAAACTACATACTCCGACGTTTCGGTTACTTTGAAAACGTGATCATTAAGACGAGATGTTAATAGTTATAACGTTTGTTTAGACTTTGAACTTGAACGCAAATGTGGACAGATAATAATAATATAATGTAATAATAATAATAATAATATATGTTCTGCCTGTCAGGCAATTAGCCAAAACTATTCACAACATGTAAGGCAAACCCTGGCTAAAGATGGGAAATTGCCAGGAAGAAGAAGAGGAGAATATAGACACCAACTATCAGCGACATCTATCATCTGTTTCACGCAACTTCATACTAAATTCAACTATTTTGAAGTTCCTATAAACTACTTAATAATCCTAATCAATTATATAGCCAACATGTTATCCTAATGTAACACCTTATTTATATCTTTGTATATAATCGATCAATTTAGTTTATGTAATACTTGTAAAGAACAAAACCGCATTAAAAACCTAGTATATAAAAAGGTCTCTTTAATTTAGTCATATTAAAAAGGTTTTTAAGACCACAAAATAATAATATTTATATAATAATAATTAATATCACAAAATCAGCAGTGTTTATGTAGAAAGGCATCCCTACTAATATTATAAATGCGAAAGTAACTCTGTCTGTCTGTCTGTCTGTCTGTTACTCTTTCACGCCTAAACCACTGAACTGATTGTAATGAAATTTGGTACAGAGATAGAGTTGACCTTGAGAAATAACAGGATAGTTTTTATCCCAGACTTCTGAAAGGTTCTCTTGAAAACGCGACAAACCGAACTCCACGCGGGCGAAACTGCGGACGGAAAGCTAGTTATTTTATAAATCCTACTAAAACTCACGTTCCAAAGAAGAAATCTTTATCACCAAGTCGTTGGCTCAGAGAGTTGCAGCATTGTTCCACCTGAAAAATATAATAGTTTTGATTATATATTTATAAAGAAAATATCTGTACTAATAGTAATTGTGATTATCAGAAAACTTAATAATACATATCGTCGGGGTTATTGCAAATCCGCGTAACTAGCATTGGATAATTCCACGTATCTACATTGGAAGCAGATTATCAGAAAAAAGTTTGAGCTGAAATATTTTCTATATTAACGACTTTCAAGGTAATTTTTTTACAATCCCTACTAAATTTAACTATGTCTGTCTGTCTGTTACGCTTTCACGCTTAAACCACTGACCTGATTTTAATGAAATTTGGTACAGACATAGAGTTGACCTTGAGAAAGAACATAGGATAGTTTTTATCCCAGATTTTTGAAAGGTTCTCTTGGAAACGCGATATAACCGAACTCCACGCGGGCGAAGCTGCGGGCGGAAAGCTAGTTACTAATAAATTTGACACTAAATAATTATATATATATATATATATATATATATATATACAGGGTGACTGGTGAATTACTATCAATATTTAAGGAGAATACTCGGTACATGATTCTCATTCGAATTATGTAAAAAAAATAGGTACTAAATTTTTGACCAAAGTTCCGTATAAATAAATAAAGTGTGGACACGTTCCAAGTGTTCCAAGTGTGGACGGCGTGCTGATAGAACACTACGCCGCGACGCGCGTGTGTGTGTGTGTGTATACCTAATCTGTAGGGTGTTCACACGATGCGTAATTAATTACATAACTTTTGGTTAACTTTACTTAGAAGTTTATTAATATTTATGTTATATTAATTTTTATTTTGTCATATATGATCGTCAAATATCACGTCCTCAAATATCGATAGTAATTCACCAGTCACCCTGTATATGTATGTATATTATGCTATTATTTAACAGAGTATCATATAACTCACATCAGCCAACACTTGATCCAGGGTCTTATCATGCCAATGAAGTGCCTTCAATCGTTTAATAACCGTTGATCTCTTTGATCTAGTCTGCAACCAGCCGAGCGGCCAAGGATACACAGATGAGTTCCTTATTCTCGTCACCGTATTAAATGTCTCCTGGTCTAACCAAGATATGTATAACTGGAAGAAAAATATAATAGATTTTTGATGACCAACCTCTTTTGTAAAGTTTCAAACTGGCAGGTTATAATGTGTACCAAATTTGGTATTTAAAAAAAAAGGGTCATGTAGAGATTTTGATGAATGATTTTGTGAATATACATTAAATGTATCTATTCTGTATTTATGCTGTTTAATTTTGTTATACTAATATCTAGAGATCTGTACAAACAAAAATAACACATGCATATAAAGTTTATATATTATACATATTATAGATTTTCACCATGAGTTCAATTTCCATTTTAGTTACAAATGCTTTTAATATATGGTAAGAACAGAATCCCTTACCTCTTCAAAATTAAAATACTCATACTTGATTTTACTTAACTTCATAACACTATAATTTTGATAACCAGTTAAATCAACAATTTTCATTATAGTAATAAACAAATATCACAACTAACCTCTGCATTAACAAGCACATTGGTAATCAAACTCATGTAAGCCCTCATTTCCGCCCTCTCTTCTGTACTTAACCGGGAACATAATGATACTCCCTTGTTGGCTGCAAACTGTACTATTGGTTCCAATTCCGATACAACAAAAGCTCCACATTTTATGAAAGGTACTCGGCCCGATGGTGACATAAATTCTGCGTTCCATCGCATTTCCACTTCAAAGGGAAGGTTGCAGATCTGAAATACATAATTAATATAGACGAAACCTCTCATCATTCCATGTATTCACGGTGCGTGTGTCGGGTCCATCGTGGTAATGAGAGGAGCTTCAACAGTGCCTGTGACTTGTGACCCAGGTGTAGGTTTAAGCGACTCTATCTAACGCGCATTAAACGCTCACCTCCACCGTCCAGGCTCTTCTTATATCTTATCTTATATATAAAATTCTCGTATTGCAGCAGTATAGACAGAGCACTCCTCCGAAACAGCTTGACAGATTTTGATGAAATTGTGTGAGCATATTGAGTAGGTTCGAGAATCGGCCAACATCTATTTTTCATACCCCTAAGTCATAAGGGTTGTTCACCCTTAATTTTTTGTTTAATAAAATTTTTGTTTTTATTTTTTTATATGGCAAAACAACATTTGCCAGGTCAGCTAGTATATGTATATTACTGTTGAAAGAATAAGATATATTTAATTGAATTCATATTGACTTATTAAAAAAAATTTTTTTGAAGTAATTCATAATATATATAAAAGTTTGTGTCTTCAAGTTCATTTTAAGATAAATGTATTGATATATGAACAGTAGAAACTGTCAAAGCGTAAAAGAGTGGTGTTGTTCAGAGTGGCATACGTCAAATGACAATAATACCAAATATTCTAAACCAAATAAAACTTATTATTTTAATTCATCATCACCAATTGCAAATTACCAAATACATATTGTAATTTATTTCATGATTAAATCTGCAGTTTTTAATACATAAATGTATGTATATGTAATCTGAGAAAATGTATCCTTTAATTATTTATTACAAAACATTGATTTTCGTTGATATGTATTTGTCACTTTTTTTTTAATAAACATATAATATTATGTACTACATATTCACAAAACCATCTTTTCTTCATACATTAGATTAAAAGGATTTTCTGTTATCAGAATGCCTGTCAACATCAATTAGTCCGGTTAATCGAGTTTCTACTGCATTAACATTATAATAGCCATACATATACTGTTTTAAATATTGCTCCGTTTAAAAAAAAAGACAGTGTGTATATTATTGTCAAAACATTAGTCTAATAAGAAAATTTCAAACAATTTTATTGATCTAAATTTTCTATAATGCATACAAAACTGTTGAATTAATATATATGATAAACAAACCTTCAAGAATGCTTGAACAGCCAGGCAGCTTGCATTGTCGGGAAGTAAGATCTGTTCTACTTCATAGGGCTGGAATAACTTCACATTATCGGGCCAGGGCTCTTGAGCTGAAAATAATTAAAACAAAATAAGTAACATACATAAATATTATTTTATAATATTAACATAAAATTATGGAATTATCAGGTGGGTTATACTTAAGGATAGACATTATTTTATTTAAGATTGTGTTAAGAAATTAACAACTAAACTTAGTAACCAAAATAATTCTTTATGTAAGAACATGATGCAATTATTAAAAATACAAACTGTACCATTTCACATGGCTTTTTTGTGTTATTTAAACATTTTTATGATTTAATATACGATTCACAAAACTTCTAAACCTATACAAAACCACTCAAAGATACCATATAAATTATCTTCGCCCCACATCGTGTTTAACTTAAAGGGCTTTTAGACAAAGTGACGATGAACTCACTAGTATTTAGGGCATCGCATCTATAATTAAATATTTGTCATCACTCATATATACTAAAACAAAACTTATATAATTCAAATCCCCGTAAATAATACGATGTCAATAGACCGCTTACCGCTTAATGAAGTTATGACTGTATCTTTAAGAGATACTTCCGGCATAACTATGGAATATTTATTAACAAATAAATAAAAAAGGATAAAATTATTTTCATAAAATTTAAAATGCGAATATCAAGAAAACGCGACTTATATTTGACGTCTTCATGTGATTCTCGTATTTGACATACTGACATTTTAAGTTTTTTATTGCCCTGTTCATAATAAGAACTAGGATCTTATTAAAGAAATTTAATTATAGATTTTATACATTCTTTCACTTTAATCTAAAAATACGTATATATTATGTACCCATTTGAATAAGTTTTGTTATGTTATCACCAACACACGCCACATTATTATTTAATAAATTAATTCCAAAAGCGAACTCTTCGTCATCGTAAAAGTCGAAAGGTCTATCCAATTGTTCAGTTTGTTTAGCTTCTGTTGATATATTTGATTTTGATTTGATCAGTTCAATATAGTTTTGGAAAATTGTTTCACCAGCTCTACTCGGTGGAGAAGAGGATCTCGGGGTCGCTAAAGGAGATTTTAAATTCCATTCACTTGAGTTAGACAAAGACGATTTAAGTTTTGGTTCTTTAACTTCTTTATTCCAGAGATTATATATACTCATGATTAATTTTGAAAATATTATTATAAACCAAAATCTGAGATTGAAATGTAGGTAATTTTTGACAGAAATATAATATTAAAGAAGAATCACCTGTTTGTTTTTTTTATTTCTCAAATGTCAAACTGAAACGAGTTAATAATTAAATATCTATATGATGAAGTGGCGATAGGCTTTTTCCCTAGTTCTAAATTAACAAGAAGTTTTATTAACTAAAATTATTCTTGGATACATATTAAAATTATAGACAGAATGAAAACTACACAATCAAAATTCGACTCTACAATTTCGGGAATGTTTTTTTCTAGTTGATTTACTAATCAAGATTTCTTAACTTTATTTAGTATAATTAAATTTTATGCAATTATAGGAATGTATTCTACATAATAGCAAACTTTTTACGATATTCGAGTTTAGTTAGCCTGACTAAATAATAATGTAGGTAATAAGTTTCTAACATAAAATAACCTTTTTTTTAATGAAGTATTTTTAATTTATAATAAGTAATAACCGTATGTGATCTGAAAAAAGAGTATATTTAAAAGTATTTATATTCAAATATAATATGTATGTAATATAAATTATTTTATTTGATCATTACCTATTTTTTATTATCTGTCTTTTCGCGAGTTTACTGTTTGTTGTAGCGTGTCAAGCTTAATATATTTACGGCTTTATTAATTATTTAATAACTGTAAATAAATTTAATAAAAGTTAATTAAAGTGTGATTCGAACTAAGTATTTAGAATATCAACTGCATTTAAGTTAAAATGGCTGACGTGTTAGATATTGAAAATTCAGAAGAATTTGAAGTGGACGAAGATGGTGAACGTGAGTGTAAATTTGTAAACTATATCATAATTATGTATTTTCTATTAATCATTGTTACAAACAAATTCGTATCCTATATCATTTAAAAGAAATCCAAACTTATTTGTACATCGCACCGATTATATTCCATACATAATTAGGTTATGCTTTTATGTTACATTCTTAAACATAATTTGTCATAAAATAAAACAGAGATAACAGAATATTTATATATATCTGCTTAAGAGAATATGTGTGTCGAAATTATGATAATGTTTTGAAAAACATTTATTTTCAGAGGGTATTGTCCGCTTGAAGGAAAAGGCGCGTAAACGTAAAGGCCGTGGATTTGGGTCGGAGGCCGGCGGTGGAAGTTCTGAGAGAGGCAATAGGGGCAGGTATGTTATTATAACAAATAAATACATAATATATCAGTAAAAACTCCATTCCATTGTAAATATTGTTTTTACTATTCATATAGCGTCAAATACATATATATATCATATACAAAAGACGTGTGTCTCTAATATCTTAAGTATTTTACATAACAGGAGAGTTTCAAACATATTATATTAGTAAAAACTCCATTCCATTGTAAATATTGTCTTTACTATCCATATAATATTAAATATAACATAGAACATATACAAAAGACGTGATTCTATAATATCTTAAGTATTTTACATAACAGGACAATTTCATACATGTTATGTACTGAAAAACTTATATAATCTTAATGAGATATTATAAATAAACTGTTACGATGTATCTTCTAGGTATGACAGCCTCGCACCAGAAGGTAACGGCAATACTCCGGGACCACAGAGATCGGTTGAAGGATGGATTCTGTTTGTCAGTAATGTGCATGAAGAAGCACAGGAGGAAGATATTCAGGTAATAATATATTGTACTTGTTTTAATATTTTAGGTATCAATGTAAACTTATATCCCTGATATACATATTTCTTCTTCTACCTGGCTTTTTCCCAGCTATAGCCAGTGTCTGCCTGTGTTGTAAATAGATTTGGGTATTTGTTTTTACGACCGGCCGCCTGCCTGACATCAACCCTCTTTGGGAATGCATTAATCATTCTATACATACATATTTCTTTATTAAATGTAATCTATGTATATAATTTTCTGTTCTAAATCTTCCACCTATTTGACAAGTAGATATCTTGCTCTGAAATTTTGTATATAAGTTTGCTTTGGATGACAATGCTTCATTTAATTTCATATAATTATTATAGATAATAATATTATAAGAAACTAACAGTTTTCTGTATTACTATGCATTTTTTTTATTAACTACATAATCTCAATATTTAAGTTTCTTTATAGCAACAAACAAACAAACAAACAGTAATCCAAAAATATTACATTCATTTACACTACAAAACCGCGGATTTTATTAACAAAATTATTTCTTATTTTTTACAGAACCAATTCTCAGAGTTTGGCGAGATTAAGAATATCCATTTAAACCTTGATAGACGTACGGGATTCTTGAAAGGCTATGCCCTAGTTGAGTACGAGACATACAAACAGGCTGCTGTAAGTATTAATATTGTGTATTGATATATATAATATACAGGGTGACTGGTGAATTACTATCGATACTGGAGGACGTGATATTTGACGATCATATATGGCAAAATAAAAATTAATGTAACATAAATATTAATAAACTTCTAAGTAAAGTTAACCAAAAGTTATGTAATTAATTACGCATCGTGTGAACACCCTACAGATTAGGTATACACACACACACACACGTGCGGCGGCGTGGTGTTGTATCAGAACGCCGCCGCACGCGTCCACACTTTATTTATTTATACGGAAATTTGGTCAAAAATTAAGTACCTATTTTTTTACCGAGTATTCTCCTTAAATATTGATAGTAATTCACCAGTCACCCTGTATATTGTATTTATAATTAACTAGCTTTTGCCGCGACTCCGTCCGCGTGGAATAGTTCCCGTTCTTGCGGGGTTTTCGGAATGGTCGGGTCCCGTAGAATTTTCAGGATAAAACCTATGTTTTTTTAAATTCACAATGAAGTACTCTTAACCAACAACATATGTATTTGTTTATTTGAATAAAGATTAATATTATTATGTTGATACATCTTAAACAAATTATTTCGACCAAATTAGGTACCATAAAAACGGTTTTTGTGTGTTAATCTTAAAAGGTAGACATATACTGTCGCTGAATGTTTTTTAGATCATTAAAAGAGCTATTATTCTTTAATACATATGTTTTGTGTATCTTGAACCGTTTTCACGGCGCACGCAACGGAAGGCTTCAAAGATGAAATAATTTCTCCCGTTTTTTACACATTTACCACTATATCTTTGCTCCTATTGGTCGTAGTGTGATTTTATATAGCCCAAAGCCTTCCTCGATAACTGGACTATCCAACACAAAAAGAATTATTCAATTCGAACCAGTAGTTTCGGAGATTAGCGCTTTCAAACAAACAAACAAACAAACTCTTCAGCTTTATAATATTAGTATAGATTAAAACTACCAAATTTATTGATTGGGTAAACACTTTATTTCTGAAGAATTGTAAGCATATATACATACAAATTAATTTGGGTAAAATCTTATAATAATATATATTAGATTCGATTTTAAAGTGTTTTGTATTGTAAATATTTTTTTCTGTGTAATTTGAGTGGTAAAGATCTCTTTATATAAGATTTTTACACATTTTATTTACATGAAACTGTAGATAAATACATTTTTACTTTTAATTCATGAATTGTATTAAAAAGTAGTAGAAATAGCTATTCTAAAGTAATATTTTATATTTCAGAGTGCAAGGGAAGCTTTAGATGGTACAGATATACTTGGTCAAGCAATTTCTGTGGACTGGTGCTTTGTTAAAGGGCCAACCAAAACTCACAAGAAACGGCGATAATTTATTGCAATATTTTACCACATCTAAATGTATAAGTACATACTTTTTGGTAATTGTCTACGTAAATTCTACAAGATATATTTTTAATCTATATTTCTTTTATTATCTGTCAAATAACAAAACATGTCTGGAGTAATTTATTAAAAACTAGTGTTATATTTATAACACGATATTAAATGGTTCATTCATAGTTAATAGTCTACAAGAACATTGTTTAAGCTAGCTGTATGTGTAATATAAGAATTTTTCCACTAATTAATTAAATATGTTTTTTTTTATCCTGACTCTCCTATACTAGGGTGGCCAACCATATAACTTTTGTAGCATAAGATCAATTTATCCGCGGCAGAGTATCGCCTTGTTATATTTATTTTATTTAGTAAATAAATCAAGAAATTAATTTGTCTAAATACAGCTGCGTGCAAAAGTATTAGGCACCCCTATTGTTAGTCACTATCTCATTAGATAGCGGTCAAGTGTGTGTTTTATGGTTTAGCTATTGTATTAGCGGCAATTTTTAACCAAATTAAGATAAAAGAAAATATTTATGACATCCTGGTGTGCTCCTAAGCGGTGTTTCTTCGAATTTGCTTTTTTTGCGTTTCGGGTTATAGTGTGTTATCAGTGCTTGCAGTGAACATACACGTCTTCTACGCAACTATTCCTATCACAATTCGAAAGACTAACATTTACCGTGTTAATCATGCCGAAAAAATCTGAACTTAGTGCTGAACAGCGTCTAAGAATTAAGATTTTACATGAACAAGGCATGTCTCAGGTTAAAATAGCCCGAGAAGTGAAGTGCTCGCGATGTGCAGTTCAATATGCTATAAATCGCTTCAAAGAGACTGGCACCCATGAAAATAGACCAAGAATAGGCAGAAGAAAAGTTACTACTGAACGGAAAGATCGATTGTTGATTAGGCAGTCTCTACAAAACAGGAAAAAAACTGCTTTAGAGCTCGCTGCAGCATTATCTGAGGCAAAAGGCAGCTCAGTGAGTGTTTATACTGTGAGAAGAAGACTTCTTAAAGCTGGATTAAAAGGATGTACAGCAAGGAAGAAGCCGTGGCTGTCAGAACACAATAAGAAAAATCGGTTGGAGTGGGCACTCAAACATAGAGATTGGTCAGTGGAAGATTGGTCCAACATACTGTGGTCAGACGAATCTAACTTTGAGGTATTGTTATTTATTTTATGTACAATATTAAAACACATAAATGTTTTTAAAATAACGTACTGCAAGAAAAATAATAACTTTGAAAATAAATGGGTTTTTTTCGTTTGGCATAGGTGGTTTGGAACACCCGGTGTGACTTATGTTAGGCGAAGGTTTGGCGAAGAATACAACCCAGAATGTGTGGTTCCCACTGTTAAGCATGGTGGAGGCTCAATAATGATCTAGGGCTGCATGGCTGCCGACGGAGTGGGCGAATGGTGTTGTGTGAGGGACGAATGAATCTAAGCGCACGGCATGCGCCGGCCAAGTTCCACAGGCCGGCGCATGCCGTGCACTATATTTACACGAACCGTTTCGACCCACTTTTGACCCCCCTGTAGCTCAGTGTCTATTGCAAGTACAGAGATAAAATTGTACCTACGTAATCATATACTAGTCCTGAAGCAGTATGCCAAATTTCATAGATAAAGCTTCAGTAGATCCTGAAATATGACCCTGTGAAAATAGATAATTTTGGCACTGACTCACTGACAGGTAATCAAAACCTTTATATAGGCGCTCAGCTCAGCACAATAAAAGACATAATAATGAAATATTAATAATTAATAATATGAGTACATCTATCAATCGGTGATAAATGAAACTAAAAAATTAAAAATAACTATAGTTTTAAAAAACTAAAAAACACGCTCCAATGATGAAAGAAACCGCGTGGAAACTAATTTAACCTTTACAACCTTGGAAATTAATTTAATTTAAATTGTTTAAAATAAACAACAAATGGTATTATTGAAAAAAAAGCGTGGGGCGCTTCTCAAGAAGTGATATATGAAGCTCCCCACGCTTTTTTTCACAAGAATACCATTTATTGTTTGTTAATTTATTTTTAAATTAATATTATTGTGAAAAAAGTGTGGGGCGCTTCTTAAGAACTGATATATATATAAGGGATATAAAATATTGTCATGTATACATAATGCACACTGTATAACTTAATTAAATATTGTTTACCTAAAAAATCAGGTTTCTATTGTTATAAATTACTTTCGATAGATAGCGCTAGCGGTATAATTGAATCGCGATATTGTTTTGTCTGCAGTATATATGAATGAAAGTCGATAAGGAATCGATGGTCATTTCTTTCTACACTTATGTCTTGATATCTTATATATGGTTACGATTACGATTAAATGGATCACTGATTTGACTTGCTAAAGGATTAATTTTGATATTGCTTATTGATTGATTACTTGTGTGTGTTAAAAGCACAAATTCACTCTATTTCTTTTCTACTATTCATTTACCAACGATGGAAATTGTACATCTTTCGGTGGTTGGCGGAGATATACCACATAGGGTAATTCCTATGCCATCAGATGGTAGCTGTTTGTTTCATGCTGTAAGTTATGCATTGTACGGCTGTATAGTACGATTGTATGTACGATTTCTGAAAAAAAAGTATTGAAATCTCACCAAAAACATGCCTGTTAAAAAGGGGGCCAAGTTCCAATCGGCTAATTGTTTGCCTAAAAAAGGGGTGAAATCCAATCTAATGCCAAGTTTAGATGCACTTTGAAATCGATCATAATCATCTTCATCAACAGCATGATTCACTGGTAAACATTTGCCATTCCCAAGACTCGCCACCACACCCAGTCCTCTGCCTTCCACATCCAGCCACTACCCGTCACCTTATTCACGTCAACGGTCCGTCTGGCTGAAATTCACTTTACCATACACCCAACTTAAAATATGGTATAGTTGTGAAAATACGAAGGTGTTTGGTTAAAAATATATAAAATTATAATACTTCTAAATTTGAACTTGGCAGGTTAATTTAATTATTTAAATTATATAATATTTAAATTATATAAATATAAATAATTATATAAATAATAAATTAATGATACAATTAAATAAGTGTTACGTACAGCACAAAAACCTGCCAAGTTCAAATTGAGAAGTATTATAATTTTATATATTTTTAACCAAACACCTTCGTATTTTCACAACTATACCATATTTTAAGTTGGGTGTATGGTAAAGTGAATTTCGGCCAGATGGACCGTTGACGTGAATAAGGTGACGGGTAGTGGCTGGATGTGGAAGGCAGAGGACTGGGTGTGGTGGCGAGTCTTGGGAATGGCAAATGTTTACCAGTGAATCATGCTGTTGATGAAGATGATTATGATCGATTTCAAAGTGCATCTAAACTTGGCATTAGATTGGATTTCACCCCTTTTTTAGGCAAACAATTAGCCGATTGGAACTTGGCCCCCTTTTTAACAGGCATGTTTTTGGTGAGATAGTGTTACATACACTGAAGTTCTGGAAACAGCACTAGCAACGTCGATAACGCAAATTTTCGGTGATACAAACACCGACGGCCTGAAATTTCAGCAAGACAACGCCACTTGCCACAAGTCCGCGCATACCATGAAGTGGTTTGCTGAAAATCATATTGATCTTTTGGACTGGCCACCACAATCACCAGACCTCAACCCGATTGAGCATATTTGGTCCATTTTAAAGAAAAATATCCGCAGGCACTCGATTAGCAATAAACAAGCTCTATTGGCCGCGTTACAGCAGGAATGGAAAAATATATCAAGAGAAGAATGTTTCAGGCTGGTAGAGTCAATGCCAAAAAGAGTGGCTGCGGTTATTAAGTCAATAGGTGGACCTACAAAATATTAATTATTTTCTTAAAATAAACCATTGTAATCATAAATGCAGTTTTATTTACACTCGCTATGCTAAAACACCCTAAAACTTGTCTTACTGTAGGGTGCCTAATACTTTTGCCCGTGGCTGTACTTCGAAGTCGTTAAAAGTACAATAGCTGCGATTATTTGTAATACATATTGATAAAGATTTTAAGTAAATAACTGCTTGATCAAAGACATCTGCTTTATATGGGGAATTGTAGATGTGTACAAGCCTAACTTATGCTGAAGAAATGTATCAACTAAACGTTTAAACACATTGCAGATATAAAGTTACACTTGATAAGTAAACTTTCACACCTGTTTTTACGTGGAATTAAACCACAACTCACATCCAATTCGCAGTTAGAAAGGCTAAGAGAACTCTGATCACCAGTTTCTAAACGAAATTACTAAACTGTCCTAAACACTCGCTAATAATTAGGCATATTTTCAGGAATTTTGTAGTTAAAGTAACTATATTGTCAGACTGAACTAGTATTGACACGGCATTGACGTCTCAAATCTCAATTACATGTATTATTAGTGGGTTTATGGAACGTATATTGAACGGACGCTTCATTGCATACAAAGACAAGGATCTCAGTGATCAACAATATGGATTAAGTCGAAATTGGATAACGAAATTCTTCTGATAGCTTCTGAAGCTCTCGCGGTTTAACATAAATTACGAAAGTTTTCACAAGGTCTAGCATGATAACTTTATTGCCAAGCCTTCTAGTTATGACGTATTCCCTGAATTTATGACTTGCTGACGGCCCTTGAACTAAGTGTAGTTGTTAATAGCTACTCATCTGAGCCATAGTGTTAACGATGGCTATCCTCAGGTATCTCTTCTTTAGCTGCACAGTAACGACCTAATTTAACGGGTGTTTTTGGTTATTTAGATGAGAACAAAGTTGTGTATCATGAAAGATGAGGCTAGGACCAGTCGGAGTATGAGTTGGAGAGTTAATTTCACACTAATAGACAGTCCGAATATGGCGACGAAAATCTTGGAAAATGTATGCCATCAAAACACAAGCGTATAACGCCAAGAGAACTTTCATATTATTGACTGCTTGATTCCAACTTTTTGTAAACTATGTTTGTAATATTCTGACCGTTGTCGTTAATTAGATATTAAAACTCAGAATTCTACCAGATACGTGTGTTTAGTAATTACGTGATTTAATTCCTGCAATCCCTTCCTATCATTAGACAATAGAAGGCCGATGGTCCATAGTTATAGACTTTCTTATACATATAACATACGTTATAGAACTTCTTCGTATCCGGAAACGATACACTTCCTTTCTCAAGCGTACAACAGAGAATTGAAATAATTTAGGTACTCGCAACTGTTTCCTCCGAATTACAATTTGGGCGACTTCAAGTAAATAATGAGTAGGCTGTTACTGAGATAATGCGTTCAACATGTATTACATCATTTAGACCTCATAAAGGTAGGAATGACAGTCAAGCTCTATAGAGTCGAAATAAAAAAAAATCCTGTACGTAATATTTATAGGGAACTTTCTTCCATCTGGAATTCAAGCATGGACTTTAAGCAACTATATAAAAAGCGACCTACATCATTCTACAAGTAATATTTATGTTGGTAGTATCGACAGAAATGTCGTTTTCAAATCCGGTCTCAGCTCTTTGATAAAAATAAGTTAATCCAAGCTTAACCCTTGCTCCAGTGGTATTTTAACCGCGGATGAAATCGAAAGTTGTAAACTTCCATGTCAATATAAGTACTGTACTCAACAGATTAACACAGTATTGATCTGGTGCCTAAAAACTATATAAATCCATAAGCAGTTTTTTTTGTAAAGAGAGTGAACATTTAATCTCTTAGATTGTCAAAATTTTTTGCTTGGATATATTCATTGTTTACAAATGTTACTTCATTCTGCATTCTCTAGATGAATTGTCACCATTGTTATGCTTACTAAATACCTAAAAAATACTTAAAAAAACGATGTTTTTCTCTCATATTTAAATCCATTACATTGGAACATAAATTATATTGGATTGCCAGAATATTATAACTATAAAAAACTTTCAAAAGATTACTTAAATCATTATTGATATGAAAATGCATAAATTTAATGAACAATATTTAATAAAGGTCAATTTCCATATAAATAAAACAATGAATTATCCTTATCCATATATTTTTCAAGCTATCGAGCTAGCATTTGATGCAATACGGGGCCACAGATCAGCGCATTCCTTGGCCACGGGGCCTGTGATCGCCGAGCCTTTCATTTCCCCCTTGTTGTTGACGATGACACCCGCATTGTCCTCGAAATATATAAACACCCCGTCCCTCCTTCTGAAAGGTTTCCGCTGACGAATAACCACCGCTGGCATTACCTAAAACAAATAGACCATTTATAGTATATAATTCTACTAAAAAACTACCAAGTCTTGGTAATACTACTATTTTAGATACTAGTATATGGTTAACTAGATTTTACTTGTACATATAAAAATCAATCTACAAAAAAATCTTCTAAAACTATATGTATAGCATAAAAATTACTGTAAAGACAAGAGAAAGCTATTTTGTTTTTTTTTGTAATCGCTCAGTCAGCCAAGGCATAACAACACAATGTTTGTTACAATTCAGACAAAAAATATGCGAAACCGTGGCAAATCATCATAGCAAATACATCATTATATTGATTCTGTATATATTAACTGAGACGAACCTTTTTTCTTAGTTCAGGTTTACCCTTTTTGACGGTGGCTACAATCATGTCACCTGAACCAGCCGCTGGCAGTCTGTTCAAACGACCCTTGATACCTTGCACGGCAATGACATACAGGTTCTTGGCACCTGAAATAATGTTATAATTAATATATATAAATAACAATTATATACATTTTTAACCTAAATAACCTCATGTGTAGAGCCTTTGTTTATCTTAGGTATTTTTTTGCATTTAGTTTATAAATTAGGTACTCATTTACTATTAATAACTGTATGACATGTTTTCAATTTGAAATCACCAAAAATAAACAAATGCTAAGGTTATGTGCGCGTGTGGATAACTTCAGACACAGCCAAGGAAAAATCATCATGATTCAAGACACATTGAGTCGATATATAATCATCACTAGAATATCCAGGCGCAATAAAGTAAGGTTATGAATATGAAATGTTTGTTACCCGTGTTGTCTGCGCAATTTATGACGGCACCCACTGGGAGACCCAGCGAGATGCGGAACTTCGCTCCCGCGGAACCACCACGTCCTTAAAAAAACATTAAAACACTTTAACATCTTTCACCAAACCGCAACACATGAGAAAAGTTACCGAAAAAGAAAATAAACATGCATTCACTGTTATAACAGCGTTAGGTCTACTTATCACATCGTTAAAATATAATTTTCAAGAAATATAACGAGATTCAAACGGATATTTTATAATTCACGAACCTCTCTTAGACATTTTGTTGTGTCAATTTTTTGAAGAGGAAATTGAAAGAACCTCAATGTGAAGGTAGCGTAACACTGCGACTTGTTTACGTTTAGAAATACATTGACATTTCATAGTAACAACCTGAAGTTAGCTAGAAATAAAATTATGGTTAAAGATATTTTATTTTAATTTAAATTAATTACTTTAGACGGTAGAATAATCGGAAAATATAGTTTTAATATTGATTTTATAATAAACACATAGTATAATACAACGTTTTATTTTCTTTCTAAAATATTTCTGAACGTATGTATACAATGTTTCAGTTTAACTTAAGCCTTTGTTTTTTCCAGTTCAGATATAAAAAAATATATATATTTTTAAATTTCTAAGAAATACTAGTCAATAAATTACATTTAATGAAATAAATTTTTAATAAAATTAATAATAAAACAACTGTTGATGAAACGGAACATTTCGAAAAAGTGTTTGTCATTTACATTGCCGCTTGTCATTCCCATAGTATCAAAAAGAAACATTTTGAATTGAACCAACTGAGATAGTTTTACATTAAAAAGTATATATTTTAAATTAATATGGCGTTTGCTGGTAATTTTATGAATCCGGCGCCATTATGGCATAATGGTCCTTCACCTGGAGCTTTCTATAGCTTCCCAGCTAATACCACATCCATGGGGCCATCTAGAGAGACAGTTTCAGACTTTAAGGCACAGTAAGTTGACTACCGTTTCTTTTTCCACATTTTAACTACATATTTAATATAATTTATCCATGATATCGTGTGTTTAACAGTTCAGCAACTCCGATTACAACCACGACTACTGTGATCGGTCTTAAGTTCGACAAAGGCTGTGTGATTGCCGCTGACACGCTTGGGTCTTACGGGTCCCTGGCCCGTTTTCGAGACTGTCCCCGTGTACTGAAGGTCAATGACTTGATCCTGTTGGGATCTGGCGGTGACTATGCCGATTACCAGTACTTGAAGGATATTATCGAACAGAAAATGTTAGTATTAGTATATGATCAGTATTAAAATACTTTCCTGTATATCCACTATCAAGTAACAATTCTCAGGAATAATTTCATAACATGCATATATGTAATACTAGCTGCACCCTGCGGTGTTACCTACAGATTTCGGGATGTAAAGTAGCCTATGTGTTATTCCTGGACGTCAGCTTCCTGTATACAAAATTTAATCAAAATCGGTTCAGCCGTTTGAGTGTGAAAAAGTAACAAACATACACACACACAAAGTTTCGCAATTATAATATTAGTCGGATAAATTTTTAGTTCACCTAGGATAGAAATTGATTCACATTTGTTACTTTAATATGTACATATAATAACTAAACATCCATATAAAAGAATTAATGATTATTCTGCCTATGTATACAGGGTGACTGGTGAATTACTATCGATACTTGAGGACGTGATATTTGACGATCATATATGACAAAATAAAAATTAATATAACATAAATATTAATAAACTTCTAAGTAAAGTTAACCAAAAGTTATGTAATTAATTACGCATCGTGAGAACACCCTACAGATTAGGTATACACACACACACACACATACGCGTGTGGCGGCGTGGTGTTGTATCAGCACGCCGTCTCACGCGTCCACATTTGGAACACTTGGAACGTGTCAACACTTTATTTATTCATATGGAAATTTTGTCAAAAATTAAGTGCCTATTTTTTTTACATAATTCGAATGAGAATCATGTACCGAGTATTCTCCTTAAATATTGATAGTAATTCACCAGTCACCCTGTATAATTCCATGTTGTAACAATATAATAATTATTACAGTATTGATGAACAATGTATCGGCGATGGTCTCAATTTGAAGCCTAAATCACTGCACTGTTGGTTGACTCGTGTGTTGTACAACAAGCGTAGTAAGATGGACCCATTGTGGAGCAATTATATTGTGGCCGGAATACAGGTATAAATATAATAATAATAACAATAATAATTTATTTCAGACCATATTGTAGATCCATATAGTGTTACAAATTAAACTTAATAAATAAATTGATTAGTAAATTTACAAAAGAAAAGCAATTTTATTTTATTTAATAAATATACACTGAAAGTTTTAATTATTGTAACAGAATACAGTAGGACCCCGATTATCCGGACCTCGGTTATCCGAATTCGCGATTATCCGGACTGCCAATCGCGACGAGTTTATTCTAACACTAGCTGTGCCCGCGACTTCGTTCGCGTGGAATAGTGACTATGAGCTGCATTTTTTTTAAAATATATACTTATTTTTATTTTGGATCATAATCACAGTCATTTTGGGTAGCTAAAAAACCTACTTTACTGTAATGCTTCTCTATATACAATATTAGACGTATGGCCATCGGGGGTGAAAGCATACAGGCTGCTGGGATTGCTAACACGGGACAGAGCCACATACAATTGACACACCCGGTCGAATATTGAACGCAGTTCTTCAGTTCTTTAATTTGACATAACTTTTTTATTTATGAACCGATTGACATGAAACAAACACTAAAGCATAACTGAAGCATACCACAATATATTCGTGAAAACCGAATCCAACTCGGATCAGCCGTTTCTTAGATTAGCGTGAACAGACAAAAAAAAAGTTAATTACATTTTTGGGTTCGACATCGACATAACAATAATCCCTGTTATTTTTTTTATTTTTATTTTCAATGTACAGACAGCACTTTTCTACAATTTTATTATTGTATGTATAGATTAACATGTCAGAACTTGCACAACGCCACGCCACTTATCACACTTATTATGTACAATTTCTTAATAAACGTTGATTTTCGCTCATATGTATTTGTTGTTTTAAATAAACACCTAACATTACATATGTATGGTACAGACTACATATGTACATATGCAAAAAGCCCGTTTTTCTTCATATATTGGATTATCCGGACTTTCACTTATCCGGATGCCTACCGACAACAATTAGTCCGGATAATCGAGGTCCTACTGTAGTTATGTAATATATTTAAGAAAAAAAATTTAACATATGAAATTCATGTATTGATGTCAAAATGTTTATATCTCCATTTTCTTTCTGGCAATTTCCCAGCTTTAGCCAGGGTCTGGTCTCTCTCAAAATGTTTATATATTGAACATTTATTGAAAAAATCTATGTCTCATTACCTTTGTTGAACCAATATCAGTGAAGAAATAGACGTAACTGATTGTGAATATTAAATTTATTAATAACTTATTAAGATTTTCAAATAGTCATCAAGTTATTTATAAGAATATCAGTACAGGAAATCAAATAATTGTATAAAACTATTCTATACTAATTCTGAAATTTTCTGACAGTATATAAATTCAATTATGATTTTGCATAATCATTTTTCTAGGCCTACAAATATTTTACCAGATACACTAATGATAAATATTTAAGAGTTTCGTGAATATTCATTTAAATAAAACCCAGATTTTCAGACTGACAATTCATTTTTTTATTATTTAAAATAGTACATTCAACATTTCTGTTACTTGATCATGTATCAGGTAGTTTTTTAAATAATAAGCAACACATCACTGAAATTCTTGGTTTTATTTACCAGATACACTATCAACATCAACCAATTCTTTTGTTAATACAAAGAATCTTCAAAAAAATCACTTTTAGTACTCATGACATGTGATTTTTGGGAGTCATATGTACTTTCTGAGAGAATTTAGACATCACTGACATACGGTGAAGGAAAACATCGTGAGGAAACCTGAACTTATAGTTTCACAATTATAAGTTTGAAATCACCAACCCGTCTTGAGCAAGCTTGGTGATTAATGCTCAAACCTTCTCCATGTGAGAAAGAGGCCTTGCTCAGCAGTGGGCTTCTGATAGGCTGATAGGCACTCATTACATTATTATTTTGTAATTTGTCAGGACGGAGAACCATTCCTCGGAGCGGTAGATAAGCTCGGAACTGCTTATGAAGATGCAGCCATCGCTACCGGCCTCGGAGCATACATGGCAACACCATTACTGAGAGATGCTGTTGATAAAGGACCTATTGATGAAGAAACTGCTAAGTATGTTCGGAACTTATTATATGAATTGTCCTGTCATTGCATATAAATATATTTCAGAGCGGTCTTAAGCACAATTATTATTACACTAATATCTCTTATTAATTATTACATATACAGTCGACTCTCGTTAATTCGAAAATCGACGGATTCTTAAAATATTTTGAGCTATCCAATGTTTGAAATATCGAATGGTTCGAAATTTGTGAGAGAAAAAAAAAACTTCAAATTACTAAGTACATATTGACTAAAGTATTGAATAATAATTAATTACAGTAGAACTCCAATTATCCGAATTGATGGGGACCGGGACCCATTCGGATAATCAAATATTCGGTTAAACGGAGTTTTTTTTTTAAATTGCCATTGGAGAGAAAAAGAGTTACGTTTTGATATTGCACTATTCTTTTCTTGAATTAAATGAAAGAAACATGATATTTTCACATGTTTTAAATATAAATAAATTGTACTTATGTACAAGTTTAGAAATAAAAATCATTGTTTTTTAAACATCTCCCTCAATGTAAGCTGTTTTGCGGTCTTCAACCGTTTTCGGCCAACCAGGTCACGCATTTTTTTTCTGAAAGTGATTCGGATAATCGGCGATTCGGATAGTCGGAGTTCGGATAATTGGAGTTCTACTGTATTTATTAACTACTATTATATATATGCTATATGTACATTCACGTTCATTCATATAAATACATAAAACTATTCATTATATGAATAAAGTAATGTTTTGAAAGAACTCTGTTATGCTCAATAACTGTTTAAAGAGAAAATTGCCTGAAATGTTATTTCATCAACTTCATTTTGTAGATAGAAGCTTTGTAAGGTATCAAATGGGGAACTTACACCAGAGGTGTAAGGTTTAAAGGATTGATCAATATTGAACTTGCCGTCAAATTTACTTACATTATAATCATTCAACCTCTTTTTCTCTGCAACTTTGAATTGTCGAGTGTTGGACGACGATGAGTTTGAATTAACGCGTCTGCTTATTATATAGCAATGAATTTTTGGTTCGAATTATCAAGTGCATGAAAATGTATTGACTTAGTTCGAAATATAAAGATTTTGAAGGGAACTCGTGATGACTATGAATTATAGAGAGGTTCGAATTATCGCAGGTTGGAATTAACGAGAGTCGACTATATAAGCATAAAAATAAAGTTTTACTGTGTTTGTAATTTCTTACTACAACTTTTCCATGCAAAGTTGGTAAGCTATATAATATAATATAGTCATATTGGGCCTTCTTATTATATTTTAAGATGTTATTAATGTAAGTGAAACTCACCGTTCATATTCTCACTTAAAAACAAACCAATATTGGATATGTTGCATAGTAGATTAATAAATTATTACATATATATTTCTATCGCCAGTCACCATGCAAACTTAGCACTGTAATCACAATAATCCTACTAACATTATAATTGCTCAAGTTTGTGAGTGTGTGTGTATGTTTGTTATTTCTTCACGCTCAAACGGCTGAATCGATTTTGATAAAATTTTGTATACAGGAAGCTGACGTCCAGGACTAACATATAGGCTACTTTACATTCCGGAAATCCGCTGGTAACACCGCGGGGCGCAGCTAGTTAAAATATAATATTACAATACATACACTAAATTGCCTTTTAATTACACAAACTCCAAGACAATCAGTCAAAATAATAATTGTTTTTTTTTCCAGGAATGTAGTCCAAAAATGCATGGAAGTGTTGTTCTATCGTGATGCAAGATCATTCCCTCGTTACCAACTCGGAGTTGTGAATACCAATGGAGTGACTGTCTCGGAGACCATCGAACTCAAACATGATTGGACCCTGGCCCACATGATACATATGAAGTGATTTATAATATAAATATATGATGATTTATTATTGTTTTATTTTTATTTATTTAATTTTTATATATATATATATGGAACCATTTCAATGGTGGAATAGTGGTTAAAAAGCCAGCCTCTCATGCATGAGGGTGCGGGTTCGATCCTGGCAAATATGAAATACCAATGTGATTTTCCGAGTCATGTGTACTTTCTGAGAGTATTTAGACATCACTGATTATTGCATTCCCAAAGAGGGTTGATGTCAGGGAGGCCGGTTGTAAAAACAATTAGCCAAAACTCTATACAGCATGTAAGGCAGACCCTGGCTAAAGCTGGGAAATTGCCAGGTAGAACCTTTTGCTTTCATAAATATATTTTTTATTTTCTGTGTTATAACATAAAGGAAAGCAAAAACTAAAAAACACTTGGAATACAAGCACAAAAAGTAATATGCATTTGCATGGTCAGCATAAAAGTACATTAATTTTAAATTCAAATGTTATATTGGCAGAATACTTGTCAACCTTGATTGAGTTCATGATTCATGCTAGAAAAACTTTAGTAGGGTTAAAATTAGTTAGTATGACCAAATTTGAATGGTCCCTGCACTAAATACAAATGAATATACTGTATATTAACAACAATTAATTATTTAACGGGCATATACAAGCAAGTATTGTAATTAAAAGTAGTACCTAAAAAGTGTATTATCTTTAATAAATAAGGAATTTAATCCCATGCTAGTATATAATATATGTATTTCGAAATTATTCATATTTAATAAAAAACATTGCTAAGCTTTCATCCAATAGATGGCGCCACACAGAAGTGGAAGCGATCTCTAGTGTAGTCATTGGTTATATTATTCCACTAGATGTCAGTTTTCATAAAATATTGAAGTAGTTCTGAATCACGCTAACGATGTTTTTAAGGTTCGTGACTATATATAAAAAATTGAAACCATCACAAGTGTACTCGCTTCGGCAGTACATATACTAAAATTGGAACGATACAGAGAAGATTAGCATGGCCCCTGCGCAAGGATGACACGCAAAATCGTGAAGCGTTCCACATTTTTTTGACAAATTCACATTTTACAATTTATGGTTGCCTTTTAAGTTTTATATTGAATTGATATATTATTTACATGTGTATTGAGATTTTTAACTTTTAGTTTAGATCACACGGTGGAGATCGCTCTGAAGGTGTTTGGTAAAGCATTTTTAATGTTTTTATTATTAAGTTTATATTTTTTGAGAATAAAAATTAATACTCTTATTATTTTTACAACTGTTATATAGAGTCCTACAGTGATTGTAATATGAAACCCGATTTACTATTCGATATATCAGAGTAGGATCGCAATTATTAGTACCTAAAAATAAAATTGATAAAAAATGTTTTTATATTTAATTTTTGAGCTATGAGGTAGGTACATCCCAAAATTTTGTTGTAGCCGTATATTATTTCTCGTTTCGGTAACCTAGTTCTTTGCTCATGACTTATTATTTAATGTCACATTACTGAATCGGTGGCCAGATAAGGAACTACTGTTTGTAATCGTCTGTTATAAGGGGCCATCCATAAAATACGTCACACTAATTTCATGAGTTTTTGAGCCCTCCCCCGTCCTTGTCACAGGTGGTCACATTTCTGAGACCCCCCCTCCCTAGTGTGACGTCACATGTTTTGCAATTTAACATCGAAAAATTATTAAATTAAAACAGCAGTTCCGAAATTAGTTTTATTTCCATTTAAAATAAGTACTTTTTTAAGAAATCAACATAGTATCAAATATTTTAAATAATAAATAAACTAATGAATATATACAGGGTGACTGATGAATTACTATCGATGCTTGAGGACGTGATATTTGACGATCATATATGACAAAATAGAAATTAATATAACATAAATATTAATAAACTTCTAAGTAAAGTTAACCAAAAGTTAGTAATTAATTACGCATCGTGTGAACACCCTACAGGTAGGTATACACACACACACACACACACACACACACACACACACACACACACACACACACACACACACACACACACGCGCGCGCGTTGGCGGCGTGGTGTTGTATCAGCACGCCGCCGCACGCGTCCACACTTGGAACACTTGGAACGTGTCCTCACTTTATTTATTTATACGGAAATTTAGTCAAAAATTAAGTACCTTTTTTTTACATAATTCGAATAAGAATCATGTACCGAGTATTCTCCTTAAATATTGATAGTAATTCACCAGTCACCCTGTATAAATAAGTATATGTGATAACGCGCTCAGTTTTAAAGATTTTAATTAATATTTCAAATTACGCGATTAGTAGCTCTAGATTTTGAAATGTGATGTCACGAAACTTAGGACCCCTCCCACCCCTTGTCACACCATGTCACACTTTGTCGACCCCCTCCCACCCCCTTTACGTGTGACGTACTTTATGGATGGCCCCTAAATAGCTTTTGTACGTATTTTAATATAGTTTTTATGAGACTTTTCATCCTTCTATAAGAGGTTTCGTACTAAAACTTCAGTAAATATCTCAAGTAAACTAACAAGCAAAATACTGTAAGAAATAATATTATTTATTTTGAGGAAACTTCAGCGTTGCGGGGAGAAACCTGTGCTCTAAGTTATCCTCTCATTAAGTCAGGTTTTTGTATTACAGAAACACTTATAAACCGTTTCATATAGATCAAAGTTTATTGACTATGACCCAGGGGTGTCCACGAAGACTTAGGTTAGGGTAAGTAGAATATATAAAATAAAAACAATTTTTGTCATAATTTCGACCTCTAAAACATTAATAATGTTTTAAAGCCACGAAAGTACTTTTAAACGATTACGATCTGTACACCGCTTTATGAAAATAATTTAAATCGGAATATCCAATAGCCAATGGCGATTCAAAAAATTTTATTATCACTGTTTGAAAATAACAAACAAGGAAAACAAAATAACTTATTTGTAGTACTCTACCTGCTAGCTAATTAAAGCTATCATAATACATAGTTTTGTAATGAAACGAGTAACGTTACCGTTTTATTACTGTTTTTAGGTAAATCTAGACTGGACTCACACCTCTCCTTTGTACATATTACCTACATATTTTAATTGTATCATCAATGTAGTCCTAACTAATTTCATTAAACACACATCATCAGTACAGAGCTGAAAGCCGTAATTCAATTATTTGTTAACATATTCACTAATTGGCTAATGAAAACTAATTCACTTGCACTTAGTAAGACAATTATAACAAAATGGCAAAAAAGTATTTGAACATTATACCGAAAAAGTAAATAGTCCCTTTTCATTTGACTTTTATCAGTTTCTACGACTTTTAAATCGAGTAGGGTTAAGGAAGCAGTGCCTCCCGAATAGTAACACATGCATAGTTTTTGCACAAACCCATGCAAATGATTCGAGCATACTACACGAGATTTGTAGATCGTCCTTGTGATTATTTGTATGGAAAATATGCACAGAGCAGTTGTGTTTACGGTCGCTCTGGCTGGAAGCGGAACTAGCCGACAAACAACTCTTAAATCAAATGACATATTACATTTATTTTCATTAATAAATAAAACAATGTAGGTTTAGTTGTTGTACTGGTAACATAAAGAGTGCTTATTGGCATGTATGATGTTCACTCTACTCCCATTTTTTTATGAATCTTTGTTTTTAATAGGTATATGGTTGATATTAATTTTAAATGGTGTGTACCGTTATGTACTTAAGACACTTCTTGCAATTTACCTACACACTTACACACACACACACACACACACACAGACACACACAGACAGACACGCGCGTACACACACCCTCCAGCTGCCAGTACTCAAGAATATCAAAGGGTTATATTCATAATAAGTATGTATGTATGTGTGTCATAAGAGTCAACGATAATTTTCAAAATGTAATAATATTTGGATTGACAATGACACTAGCACGCAGTCCCCCACGGGCACGCAGTGTATAATTTTTCATTATTTATCGCTATTTGGGTCTCCGAAGTCCGAGTATCATGTTCACCGTGTACAAAAGTAATCTCCTACCTTTATGAACATTGGTCGGATTAGTTTACAATACGAACATGTTTAAAACTAAACACCAGGCGGCGCTTTTACAAGAAGCTGTGACGCCATCTAGTGTCGATATCATAGATACTGACTGATGTTCTGAATCACGCTAACGATGTTTTTAAGGTTCGTGACTATATATACCAAATTGAAAGTACGTCAAGTGTACTCGCTTCGGCAGTACATATACTAAAATTGGAACGATACAGAGAAGATTAGCATGGCCCCTGCGCAAGGATGACACGCAAAATCGTGAAGCGTTCCACAGTTTTTTGACAAATTCACATTTTCCCATCCATTGTTACTTCTTATTGCCTAGAAATAATATTGTTATTAAATATATTTATATTTAATTTTTGAGCTATGAGGTTCATCCCAAAATTTTATTATAGCCGTATATTATTTCTCGTTTCGGTAACCTTTTCTTATGCTAATGACTTATTATTTAATGTCACATAAATCGATGGCCAGATAAGGAACTACTGTTTGTAATCGTCTGTTACAAATAGCTTTTGTACGTATTTTAATATAGTTTTTATGAGACATTGCATCCTTCTATAAGAGGTTTCGTGCTAAAACTTCAGTAAATATCTCAAGTAAACTATAACAAAGAAAAAACTGTAAGTAATAATATTATTTATTTTAAGGAAACTTCAGGGTTGCGGGGAGAAACCTGTGCTCTAAGTTATCCTCTCATTAAGTCAAGTTTTTGTATTACAGAAACACTTGTAAACCGTTTCATATAGATCAAAGTTTATGGACTACGACCCAGGGGTGTGCACGAAGATTTAGATTAGGGTAAGTAGAATATATAAAATAAAATCAATTTTTTTCATAATTTCTGCTTCTAAAACATTAATAATATTCGCACTTAACATTACAGCAGTCCTATCAGAACTAACATCTATATGTTTTATAAATCTATCAA